AGAGAAGAACAAGGGGGGACATGATAGCAGTGTTCCAGTATCTCAAGGGCTGCCACAAAGAAGAGGGAGTGAAGCTATTTTCCAAGTCGCCTGAAGGCAGGACAAGAAGCAACGGATGGAAACTAATCACGGAGAGAAGCAACCTAGAACTAAGGAGAAACTTCCTGACAGTTAGAACAATTAACCAGTGGAACAACCTGGTGAATGCTCCAACACTGGAAGTTTTTAAGAAGAGACAAGATGGCCATGTGTCTGAAATGGTACAGGGTTTCCTGCCTGAGCAGGGGGTTGGACCAAATGACCTCCAAGGTCTCTTCCAACTTTATGATGATGATGATGATGTGTATGTGTATATATGTATATGTACATCATTCCCAGAGAGAAATCATCCAGATGCCCTAAGCTCTATGGTCTCCCCAAGATACACAAAGAAGGAACCCCACTTAGACCCATAGTCAGCTCCATAGGCTCACCTCTACAAAACCTAGCCAAATTTCTCGCTAAACAACTACAACCCTATGCAGAAGCCATCACATCCCACGTAAAAAACTCATTCCAGTTCATAGAGATCATAAAGAAACAAAACTTACAGCCCAGCGACCTACTCGTGAGCTTCGATGTCATATCCCTCTTCACCCAAGTGCCAAAGAAGCCTTGACAGCTATCTAAAACAAATATAACCCCCCCAAACACATTCTAGATCTGACTAACCACTGCCTATCCAACACATACTTCATCTATAACGGACAAAAATACAAACAAATAGAAGGAACACCCATGGGATCATGCCTCTCACCTGTAGGTACCTATCTACCTATCAAGGCTGCTTGTTCTGAATGAAAAAACGATTCTCAATCTAAATGTATTTATTAAAAAAGTCTATGTACTTTACTCCTCTGAAGGCTCTATAGGATTGCTTCCAGAAGATTTCTCAATCCTCACATAAGCTAAATTTTAAATGGATTGTCAATTATTTAGTCCCTTGATAATGGGAGGGAAGCCTATTAGTTTATATTGTATTATTATGTATTTTGAGAAGGCCACTTTCTGTCCATCTTAAGAGAGTTGTGATTTTGGAGTAGCATTTAAATTCTGTAAATAAGTAAACAAATCAATGAAAAAAACTAAAAGTGGGCTAACTAGTAGACTGTACACTAGAACTATTACTAGGCAAACGTGAAACAAAAACTATGTTTTATTTCTGGCATGAAACAAATACACTGTCATTCAGAAATTAAATTGAACTACTCCAGGTTAGTCAAGATTCAGCCAAATAAAACCCGAGTTATCTTTATTGTTCCATATTTTAGATGAAAGAAAAGCGAGGAGGATCTTACGGGGCTATTTGCCTTGACCCCATTTCTCCTCCTTTTTTTGAATGGCCTGCTTAAGTTCATGTGTGCTCCTCTCATCAGTCTTCCCCATACTGTTCCACTTTCCCCCTTAGCAGCTGCACATGGTTGATGGTCTTGCCTTTTTCCTATTTTCTCCACTTTGGAACATTTCTGCTCAGGATGTTTATTTTTATTTGTTTATCACCAAACTGACAATAGTCCTTGACCAAACATGTGCTTTGATCCAGAGCTATGTCACCTGAAAACTAGATGTTCTATGTATGGAATGATCATGCATGCAATGCTTTGCACTTCCTTTACTACTATCTCCAATGATCTGGATGCAATGGTTCTCATAAATCTAAATATTAGTTTTCCTAGGTAGCAACATGACTGTGGCTTGCTGCTGCCTTCTGGCACTTTTCTAAATTCTCAGTCTAGCCTATAGTCACTGCATTTCCTATTACCAACTAGGTCCACCCTTGATTAGCATTCTGGGATTAGCCAAGGTAATTTAGGTGCTGCCACCTTCTGTCATGTACACACATTTGCACATTCATGCATATAATCAAATGTCAACCATTTAATGGATTCCATTTAAACCTATGCTTTGTTGATCTGCTTTTCATAACAACCTCAATATTGTATGGTTACAGAGACATCATTGCAGTTGACACCAGCAGCACCTGCTAAAGGCCAAAACCTTGGAATACCCTAGTCTTGCTACTCTCCCTTTATTGCTACCAATACAGTGAGTCTTTCTGAGCTAACCAGTAATAACTGAAGCATAATTTTGCTGCTTCTCCCAAGTTCAGAGAGAGTACAGTAGGAAAGTATTTACATAATCACAAAGTGGAGAGATAGTGGTAACTGCATAACTGAAGGACACTTGTCCAAAGACTTCAACTAATATTGAAAGTATATCTAAAATTCAGATGCTGAAACAAAGAAAATGGGTGGATTAGTGCCCTTATGATCCATTTGTGGGTTTTTCCCAAGAAAGCTGGCTGCCCATTGTTAGAAGTAATCTTTTCTACCAGATGGACACTTGGATTTGATCAGATAATCATTTCTTAATACAGATATAGGCTAAAATAAGCTCAGACTACGGTTAGCAAAACAAGTTGAGGTTTACAGTAGTTTCTTTTAGCTTTAAAAATATTCTGAGGTACATTTAATAATTTAATAACATTTAATAACAAACATTTAATAACAAACATTTAATAATTTGGTGTGATATCTATGGAATTAATTAGCTTTACTTGTAAACAAAAGTGGGCACTAAGCAGTCAATGTTGAATATTATCAGTAGAAGTAGCATTTACATTTTTCTTGACCGCCTGCCACTAAAGCAAGGTATTCATGTAATTCTGTTGGATGACTACGCTGCCAAATTGTTTCATTACATCCCTCCATTGTTATCTAATCAGTAAAAATCTAGCTATGAAAACTCCTAGCTTAACCAGTGAGAATTCTTATGGGTTAAAAAGTGTGAAAGAATATCACTTTACTGAAAAGAAAAGGAAAAAAAGGAAAAGAAAACTGCCTGTTAAAATAGCAACGATAAAAAGGTATATTGCTTAACCAAACAATAGGAACATTCATTTGCAACCTCAAACAGAAGCACTTCACATTAACCTAAGCTCAGTCTGAAATCAGACTCTGGATCTGATTTTCAATGCTGGGACAATCCTGGTATGTGCAAAAAAGAAAATGTTTCTTAGCATATTAAAATACTTAACCTTCATTCCTGGGGCAAGCAGGTCACATTCAAAATTTTAAAATATGGTTTCCAGAGAGTAATTTCCAGGGATTTTAATTCTCCACTCAGTTTAGAAAATATCATGAAACAACTCTGCACGTCTTTGAGTAAGAAAATGATAAACAATCATATAAATAAGGTCACAATCAAATCTGTAAGTTAGTTTCCATGCTGACCATGAGGAGTGAAAAACATGCAGAAACACAGGGAAACTACCATCTTGGCAGGATAATAATAATAATAAAAATATCCAATCAGCTATAATGATAGAGGAAAGGCAAGGTTAAGGGCAGTCCCCTCCAAACCAATGTACGAAGCAGTTGCCTAAAGAAAGAACCTGCAAACAGAACTTACTCAATTTTAGTTTATGTCAGCATGGAACTCATGAGCTGCTATTTCAAACTTGGAAGTTGACAATTTCAGACAGAAAATGCTCAGAAAATTCTATGCACAGAGTTGCATAGATTCTCTGTCCTTAGGACTCTGCCGTTAAAGTCTGCTGTTGGGCATTTGGGGTTAAGGCTGTTTCCCTGAGAAAAATGTATTTTACCTACTTGGGCACAAACTGATGTACAATTAAACAATATCAACACAGATTTGTTTGCTTCTGATCAAATCTGCTTTTCCCTGAATTAAACCAGTTATTCTTGTTTAGGTACATAATAGCACTGTGCTTAGCCTCTAACAAAAAGTTACAATTGCTGGAGGAAAACAATTAATGACGACATCAGGCACCTAAAATGTATAGTTGGTACATGGAGTGCTGTCAGCAACATCACCAGAAATGTTCTGCGTTTACATCAGGGGAAAAAAAAAACAGTACAAGATATCCCAGCATAGTGAATGTGGGTGAGATAAATTAGCTATCAGGAACTTAACTACTGTCCTTTGGGGCTGTTACTAATAATTATAACATTCTACCCTTCAGTCATCACTTGGGATTATAAACAGGAAAAAAATTTGGAGGACAGAGAACCCCAAGTTCTCCAGTATAAGAATGCTCAAGTTAATGGCCGTATAAATTACAAGAAAACTAATTTGGTATGGCACACTTTTTCTGATATTTAACTATGCCCTGTGGAAGTTGAGTACCAGATACTTCTTAAGCTCTACAAAGTCATAGGTTCTGCAAGCACATACACTTCAGGCATGTGAGGACACAACCAGTTATTCAGTTTGGGGGAGACAGAAAACTACTGGGCGTCTCCCTTCTTTTTCCAGACAGGAGAGTAGGTACCTGAAGTAAAGGTGCTGAGGGATTATGTCGCCATCTTGCACAAGTAATAAGAACATTACTGTTGCAATACAGAAGAGACAGAAAGATGAAGGAAGCCTAAAATAACATAATTGGTACATGCTGCTTTCTGCCCTATCAAAAGAACATCAGCCTATAAACCTTGGGTGAACTCACATTCATTGTATAATAGACTAGAATGGCCACAGTTTGATGATGATGATTTTATTTATTTATTTATTTATATATATATATATATATATATATATATATATATATATATATATATATATATATATGTAATTTTTAAAAAAAATTGTACTGCCACTCATTTAAAACACATCTTAGGGTGGCTTAGAACAGTAACTCAGTAACTCAGAACAATAAAAGCCATAAACCCAAACCACAGCACCTCAAATATTTCCCCACAATATTCCCCCCTCCCCACAACCAACTTCAGATGTACTCATTCTATCTCAGAAACTGGGTAAAAAGCAGGGTCCTGATGGCCTTCCAAAAGGCTAAAAAATGGGGGCTTTCCCACTCATCAGGGGAGGGTCTTAGGTAGAGAAAGCCACAAAAAAGCAGCCATGCATTATCACCCAAAGATTTCATTCATTATTGAGGGTTTTTAGTGCTCAAAAAATGAGACTTAAAATATAATGCATACCGTAGTATCCACAGCAGAGATCTTCCTGACAGGAATATGATTTGGGGTTGGTTCCTCTTTGGAGACTATCACACAACCCCCTGGTCCCAAAGTTACGACGGCAGTCCTACAGCCTCTCTCTAACAATTTAATTCCGACTTGTCCAGCATCTCCAGCATTACCAACCGCAATTCCTGTTAGAATTTCTGCCTTGAAGGAAATATTAAAGCCAAATGTTTAAGCAAGCAAGCAAATTGTAGCTGAATAGCAACAGCAACAGCATCTACAAAAACCATATTAAAATGATAAAGCTGTTCAACAATCAGTTCTACACACACACACACACACACACACACACACAAAATATCAGAATTCCTTTGGATTAAGCACTACTGGACTTCCTAGCTGGTGGATTTAGAAATGGACAAGGATTGCATAACTGGTTCCATAGGGCAAATTCCCAAATTCCTTGGGCCCTCCTTGGGGTACTGATGAATAAAGCATTATTAATTTCATGACACTGACTGACTCAGGTTCATGGTAATAATTTAAGTTTCATAATGCTAATATGAAAGTGTACATTTGGCAGTTTTGACACAGTGAAGCTTTCAATTTAGTGAATGAAAGCACATTTGTGATAAACTAACAGGCTATATTTTTAGATGTAGATAATACAGTGGCATTATTATGAAGCTGTTAAACATCTATAATTGGGATTTTCAGAGTTCTATTACAAGGCTATCAATTAAGAGGGGTTAAAGTTTTACTCCTGCTTTACCTAATAGGGTGCTTTGAAGAGCAACTTCTGGGAAAACCATCCTTGGGGTTCTTTCTTGTCTCATGTGTCCCAAGTGGAGGTAATTTTTTCCCTATCCTTCCTGCCAATTTTCCTGGAGGCAGTTCTCCAAAGCAGTACTCTAAAAAACTGTGGAAAAAAAAATGTTGCTGCTGACTTGAAGGGTGAGGCTTGGGAATGGTTAACGAATACAAATTAGTTAATACAAATTAAGTGTGCTATTACTCCGATTCAAAGGGAAAGTGTATGGGGGAATAGCATGACTTATTACCCATTTGATTCTATGCAGACAGTCCTCACTTAATGACTATTCATGCAGTTCAAAATTACAGTGGTGCTAAAAAAGGAGACTCGCAACTGGTCCTCAAAATTCCATTTATTATAACACCCTTGCTGTCATGCAAACATTGGAGGTTGGCTCACACAATGGTTGCAGCATCCCATAGTCACGGGATTACCATCTGCAACCTTACCTTCCGGCTTCCCTTAAGTAAAATCAATGGGGAAGCCAGCAGAGAATGTTGCAAGTTGTTTTAGTAAGTTGCTTGCACTCTCTCCCACGTGGAAGCAGCCAACTCCGACTTTGCCACGCTCACACTACACCTCGCAGGCTGTTTGTGCACCCTCCTTTGCCCAGCAGCTGCAACGTTCAGTCCCAACATACTTCACATTTTACCTGTCTACAAGGCTACTGGGACTTGCTTAATGACCCAGAATCCTTGCTTAAAGAAGGCAATGGGGAGTGTTGGGATTGTCATCACTAAGCAATGCAGTTACATGATATTGTCCTTTATGACTGCATAGCTTAGCGATGGAAAATCTGGTCCCAGTTACCATTTAACTACCTGTACCTGGGAATGGATGAGAATGTATTTTTAAAAGAGAGGTTTTGAGAGTGTTAGAGGTAGCAAGAAATGTTTCTATACTGAATTATCTGACCAAAGGGAAATTGTTTTGAAGGGGGTTTAAACAATTCTTTGGGAATTTGATCTGTTGAGCCATTTGTGCTTTCAATGTTTGTTTTTAAATACACTGCAGGTAATCCTTGACTTATAATAGTTCATTTAGTGACCAAAGCTACAAAGGCACTGAAAAAGTGACTTATGACCTGTTTTGCACACTTACGACCGTTGCAGCATCTCCATGATCATGTGATCAAAATCCAGATGCTTGGCAATTGACTCATATTTATGATAGTTGCAGTATCCTGGGGACATGTGATCACCTTTTGCAACCTTTTGACAAGCAAAGTCAATAGGGAAGACAGATTCACTTACCAACCATGATACTAACAACTGCAGTGATTCACTTAACAATTCTAGCAAAAAAGGCTGTAAAATGGGGCAAAACTCCCTTAAAAACTGTCTCACTTAGCAACAGACTTTTGGGCTCAGTGACTACATATATTCCCTCCTCTAAAAGAAACAAAATTCTGTGGCACTGATCCTGGCAGTTCTCAAGATTAAAACAAACAAACAAGCAGAACACATACAATAATATCACAATAAACACAATGAAGAAAGGTAAGATATATAGCAGATACTCTATCTATGCATGGTTCAAAAATGATAAGGACTAAGTGCCTTGGAACTCATGCAAATGCAACACCTCTCTTAATTAAAGTAAGCTAAATTAAACTAATTCTGCAGGATCCTGAAAAGACTGACAAGTGAATCAATTAATTAAAGCAGCTGCATCTCTTTTTTCCCGTCACCTGTAGAAAGCTGAAAAAAAAAATTTGGCTGCTTTAACAAGAGACAGAACTTGTATTGCACAAAGTTCTGAACCATCTTCTAAAACATTCATAAAATATGCACTGCCCTATGCTGATATTTCTTTAAGCACAGAGAGTACCCAAAGTTCTTCTTCAATGTTTGTTTGTCTTTCCTTACATGTTGTCACATAGATCTGTGGTTGTGGAGTTATCAAAATATCACTTGTTTTGGGAATTTCTGCTGTATCTGCATTCTGTAGAAAAAGGCCTCCAGCTAACATGCAGCAACTGAAAGAACAGGGGTAAGTCAGGACACTATGGAACAATTTGAGAGACACTTTCCTGTAAGGGTAGCAGATACCAGACGGTTGATGCATGCCAAAAGTTAAAAAATGTATTTCTAGGTCTCAATTGTGAAATTCAATATAAAACTTCTGGTTGTGTTGGAAAGTTCCTCCCTCTAATTTTTAATTAACAAAAATGTACAATTGGAGGAAACAACTAATGGCTGCTTTTAAAAAGAGAAATAAAATACAATGACAGGAGGCCGATTTTTTAAAAACAGTTTTCAGGAGAATTTTTTTTAAATAGTTTTCAGCACTAGGCACACCTACCCCCCAAAAAATTCTCTATGCCCTCTTGTTAATTCCCCATAAAACATTTAAAGGTAAATCAACAAATGTTTAAAGAAATAAGCTAATCTATGTAAGATTCTACTGTAAATAACTTTTCTGGTAATGCAATGTTCTCATTGCAAACCAAACACTTAAACCAGTGTTTCTCAACCTTGACTATTTTAAGGCATGTGGACTTCAACTCCCAGAATTCCACAGCCAGCATTGCTGACTGTGGAATTCTGGGAGTTGAAGTCCACATGCCTTAAAATTGTCAAGGTTGAGAAACACTGACTTAAACTGAAAATCCAGACATTGGCTCAAACCTGGAACAAGCTACATTGAAATAAATTCTTTGTTTACCTATATGTCCATGAAATATTTGATTGTTAAATCTACAAAATAATGATTAAACATGTATCTTCTTTAAAAAGGACATTGCAGTTACAAGTACAGATCAGGCGAAACCTGGCTCAAAAACAGTAATTGTGAGAGGGACCTTGGAGTGCTTGTGGACAATTAAATATGAGCCAGCAGTGTGTGGCAGCAGCGAAAAAGGCTAATGCAATCCTTGGTTGTATAAACAGAGACATAGACTCCAAATCACGTGAAATATTAGTACCGCTTTATAAAACCTTAACAAGACCACACCTGAAATACAGCATCCAGTTTTGGTCACCACATTACAAAAAAGATATCGAGACTTTGAAAAAAATGCAGAGAAGAGCAACTAAGCGGATTAAAGGCCTGGAGACAAAAACAGATGAAGAACAGTTGCAGGAATTGGGTATGGCCAGTCTAGAGAAATGAAGGAGTAGGGGTGACATGATAGCAGTATTCCAGTATTTGAGGGGCTGCCACAAAGAAGAGGGAGTCAATTTATTTTCCAAAACACCAGAGGCAAGACAAGAAACAATGGATGGAAACTAATCAAGGAGATAAAAAACCTGGAATTAAGGAGAAACTTGCCAAAAGTGAGAACAATAAACCATTGGAGCAGCTTGCCATCAGAAGTTGTGGATGCTTTATCACTGGAGGCTTTTAAGAAGAGACTGGACAGCCACTTGTCTCAAATTGTATAGGGCTTCATGTTTGAGCAGGGGGTTGGACTAGAACAGTGGTTCTCAACCTTTCTAATGCCGCGACCCCATAATATAGTTCCCCATGTTGTGGTAACCCCCAACCACTTATACATCACCGGGTGCCAGGGGCGTGGCCAAAGAAAAGGGGGAAAAATGGCGGACAGCCTTGTTTGGCGACCCCCGTGAAATGGTCATTCGACCCCAAATGGGGTCCCGACCCACAGGTTGAGAACCACTGGACTAGAAGATCTCCAAGGTCCCTTCCAATTCTATTCTGATACAGTTGAAGATGTAGTATGAAGATAATGCATAAACTAGACCTTCATGTCAACCAATGGAATTGTTCTATCTTAGGCAAAAGTCTCAAGGCCTGAGAGCCTGTTTAGAAAGTGTGCTCTCTCTCCTGCTCCTCAGCATACTTCTACAACATTGTGGATTACATTAAATTCTTTACTTCTGAACCAAATATCTATGGCTTATTCAGTATTTAGAAACTGTGTTGGTTTCTTGTATATTCTGGATCATGGCCCATGATTAAACAGTTTCAGACTCCTGGTTTAACAGGAATGCCCAAAATTCTTTTATATAATATTACAGTTGTTTTATATAATATTACAATTTCTTCAAGCAGCTCACCTAGATGACTTTGAATCAGTCAATCTCAGTCTAGTCTAGCTAACCTCACAGGAAGAAAAAAAAGGAAGGAGAGCAATGAATGCTATCCTGAGCTCCTGAAGGAAAGGCAAGTATAAATCTAACAAATATTTGTTCTCTCTACATTAGTGTGCACATTCTCATTCAAAACTTACAACAATATGCATACTTATTAAAGCACATTTTATGGACTTCTAACTTTTGCAACAATTTTCTCTTAACATTTAGCTTTTGCCAATTATTTTCCTAATGTATGTATTTCTGGAGACAATTTTGTCTAATATATGTCTTTTGCATATTCTGGATAAGTGTGACACGACATTTGGAAGAGTACATGTCCTCGAGAATAACCAAGTCTTGTAAATATTAAAATATGATTCAAATGAATTTGCCCTTCTTTAAGTAGTAGTATCTACATTCACATTTTATATGAATAAGAGAAATGTATTTTATCATCTGTTAAACACAGACATGCATTCACCCTCCATGTTGCTTTTTAATTTTGAGACTTAATGCCTTTGAAGTACACACACTTGTGTTTTTTTTTCCACTGTACTACTGTGAATAGTACAGAAACTGATAATATAACAATTTTCCTTGCAGTTTAAAATTATTTAGCAACACACAGCCTGAAGTTTGGCTTTCACACAGGCCCAAAATTTACTTATTTTGCATTTCTTTCATTAAAAGTATTAAGGAGAAAGAGAACCAGTACATTCCTGGGCAAACCTCAGGGATTAAGTTATGCTACATCTGGTGCACAGTGAATTAACAAGCTAGTTTCAACAAGCTTGATCGTTTCTGGGAAAAAGAGAAGTAGAAAAAACAACAACCAAACAAATGACTAGCTAAGCAAAAAATCAGGCCCTGATAAACATGCAATATATATTTGCATGAACTGTGTATGGAGAATTAAAACCACACAAATAAAAGTTATTGTTAAAGCAATAATTAAACATATCTAAAAGCCACAGCTTGTGAAAAATCCCTTGTGGGCAGATAGGCCATTGATAATCCAACCTCTAGTGTTCGTTCCTTCATCCTAGCACACAAATGTGTAAAGAACAAAATGTGTTAGAATATAGAGTATCTGTGGTTGTCAATGCACTGACAATACTCAGCAGACCAACACTATGAAGCATGTATTTTATCTAATATTGTTGTGATACTCCTCACATGAAAGAATTTTCAAGATCTGATGCTTTCAAAAATTCAAAATGTCACAAACTGATTATACGGGGTGGGTGTTGATAAGATAAAGAATAGTCATGTTAGATGGGGAATTCTCTTTATCAGCCAATCAAAAATGGACATTTTCTTGTACATTGCACTAATTTAGTAAGACACCTGTCAGAAACTTTACACTTTGCACTGATAATGGGGCATACATTTCTATTTCCTTTTAAACTAGAAAACTAGTTTTGACACACTCTGAATGATATTTTCACAAATATTTTAAAAGGATGATTGGCAAGGCAGTTCTTTCCCCCACCCCACGCCTATTCTATATAAATAAAGGATATTTTATTTCAATATAAATAAATTTTGTCTTCAGAACATTTTAGGTATGCGAGGCCTGGTTGTGTGGCAAACTACTCCTCTTTCAAAAGAAACAGTAATATGTGGAAGACTCTTATGGTAAATTCCTAGTTCTGCTTGAAATTACCACTGAATCTGTTTGAACAACATAGCCTTGTAAATAAAGTTTTAAAAAGTTCAAAAGTTTTCAGATTGGGTTTGTGTGAAGACTAGATATAAAAGCTCAGAAAGTTCTGTTTATTTTCATTTAAAATGTAATTTGTTGTTGTATAATCAACAGAGCATACCCAAAGCACTTCTCCATTCACAGAAGCTATAAGAGCTAAGGAGCTAGACTTGGATATGAATTTCTTGTCTGGACTTGAGAACACAGTATGGAGGCAAGACAACACAAACTAGATTTCTAACACATAGCTGGTCACTAAAGATATCCTTTACTTAACAACCATTCATTCAGCAACTGTTTTAAGTTATGATGGCACTAAATGAAAGTACTTATGAACACATGAACAAAATTCAGGCCTGCCCACATTTAAATTACCCTCCCTGCCCCCATCCTTCCCCACCCCATCTGACTTTTGTCTTCACTTGCCTCCCCTCTACTTGCCTTCCCCCTGGCCACTTATGGGGGAAACATTGTGGATATTTCTGCAGGCAGACAGGTGATGGGTGAGTGCTAGCCGTGCATCCCTTTTAGCTGAGTCCTTCTTTTGCATGCCAGCCAGGTCTCCTTTCAGAAAAGAAGGACCTGCCTAGTGCACGAAAGCTCCCAGCAGCACAGACACAAAAGAAGGATCCAGAAAGAGAGGTCCTGGTCAGTGCACACACACACACACAAAAAGGACCAAGCTGGCATGTGAAAGAAGGTTGGTGCACAGGAAGACCCACCCCTGGCTTCACAGGTGCAAAAGAAGTGGCATGAAGCGATTCGCATTTAAAGTATGTGTGAGAGTTGCTCAGTGACAATAACCGGCATTGCCAGAACTGCTGTTGCTATGCACAGTGGTCAGGTGATGTTTCATTTAACAGCTACACTGCTTAGTGAAAGAATAGCTAGTCCCATCTAGGGTTAAGTGAGGACTACTTGTATAAATGTTACTTTCAATGAAATGGCTTACAAAATATAAAGGAGGTTTAGAGTGATAGCACAAAATTAATTTATTCCTGCTCTGAAAAGGCATGCTGGGCAATCTGCAGTTGACAGAGATCTTTTAGGAATGTCTGTTTTGGGTCTGCTGCCAGCCATGCAATGAAAATAAAATCAAAATGTTCACAATCTGAATCCATTACTTGTACTATAATACTCTCCCATGTTTTATTTCTTCAGAGTCACTCTAATGATATTTACCTCGCTTTCATTGCAGCAGATGATGTCAGAATAAGTGTAAAATTGTGAGTCTAGGTCAGCAATTGCTGGAGCAGGATTAAATAAAGTCTTCACTGCAAGAGAATGGAAAATTCTGTAAAAGTCGTATTATATTATGCTTAAATATAAACGCTCACAATTCAACAAACACTATTTGTCATAAAGCCTAAGGCATTTTCAGCTCTATATTTTCCCTAGATACACAAATTACTTGCTGACATAAACAATCTAAGCAAAATACCCTATTGTCTGCTGTTGTAAAGTACTGGTAATGCAATGATACTGAATTAGTTAAGGATTTCATGAGAATAGTTTAAGCATTATAATCATGCCTCTGCCATGAAAGAAAAAGAAAAAGAGAAAAGAGAGAGAAAGAGAAAAAGAGAAAATGAAGGCTTAGCTGAATTTGAAAAAAATAAAACCTACTATTTATTAGCATTTCTTGAAGACTATATTTCTAAGAATCATAAGGTAGATTCTTATTGCTGTTGATCTAAATTCAGATATGCATACACTGGGTTAACAGAATTTCAACAAAGAACAAAACACAAAATTATTCCCAGATGTATTACGATTGTGTTTTGCATTTTTCTGCTGGAAATTCTAGAACTTCATTCTCATCACAGTTAAAAGTCCTCAGATTGGAGGAAAGCTGATATGAACCACAGACAGACAGACATTCCTCGATTAGAGAAACCCAGAGGACAATTTTTATTCCAGTTACCTCACTTTTAAGTTCAGGGAATCTGCTAAGTTGTAAAAGGGGAGGAAACTTCTTTTCCAATAATGGACTACTCAGCCAGGGAATAAATCAGTGGGGGTTTACAACTATAGTAGGCGAAACCAGAATCCAAAACCCAAATTGCTGCAGGATACGACAGTATGCATACCCACAGTCATCATATCCCCCATCTTTCAGTATCATTCCAATAATGTATGTTAAAAAGGATTGCCTCAGAATTTGGGTGGGGAAAAGCCTTTCCCCTTGTTTAGAATTAAAAGAATACCATCAGATACTGAAGTGCTTCCTTTCCCTTCCCTTCAAACAAATGGACCTAGTATTCTCATGATTGAAAGGAACATTAAATTTGGAAAGCTTTGAAACCAAACAGACCCTAAACAGTTATTCAAACAGTATACAATTGTTGACCTACAAATGTTTCCAATGTGTTTTGTAATTAGCTTGGTTCTACGTCCGCTGGTGTTGGAGCAATGTGTTTCTTTAGAATCCGTTAAGAAGCCCAAACCTTTCATGGTGCAACTTCAACTCATTTTGGTAATTGCACTATTGTTCTGGTTCACTTTAACTTATTACAATGTAAAAAAAAAAAATTAAAGTGACCCGCAGAATGGTGCTTTTATCAAAATGCTACCATGAGATTGATATATCAAGTGTTAATGCAATGCCTGGGCATCACGACAATCAAAACAAAGGCAAGAAGCGACAGAAAAGCTGCCACCGAGATCTTTAATGACTATTAATGGTACAGTGATAAGATAGTCCTTGACGTACGACCACAGTTGAGCCCAAAATTGCTAAGGGAATCATTTGTTAAGTGAGTTTTGCCTGGTTTTACGATCTTTCTTGCCAGAGCTGTTAAGTGAATCACTGCAGGTGTTAAGTTAATAACATGGTTGTTAAGCAAATCTGGCTTCCCCAGTGATTTTGCTTGTAAGAAGGTTACAAAAGGTGATCACGTGACCTTGGGACACTGCAACCATCATAACTATGAGTCAGATGCTAAGCATCTGAATTCTGATTACATAACCATGTGCATGCTGCACAGTCAGAAGTCGGAAAGTCGCTTTTTTCAGTGGCGTTGTAACTTTGAACAGTCACTAAATGAACATTTCTAAGTCGAGGACGACCTGTATTTCAGCAAGTAAAAAACTATCAATCTGTAGTTTAAAAAAACTAACCCAAGTGTATGGGAACAAGACATCTTATAGCCACAAGCTTCTGTTTCCCCACTTCCCTTTTTCTTCTAAGCCTTGCATCTGGGTGTGCATCTGTTAAACACACATAGTCTGGTGGGCTTCCGAACATAAACTACTGCATTAAACATAAGAATCGGCAGACTAAAGGAAAGGAAGTGCAGTAACATTCTCCAGCTGTGAGGATTTTAAAGATTGTTTCTATATTAGCAAAGGGTTTACCGCAATTTCATTATACAAGGCCATTCAACATGTTTCACAGAGGTGGACAGAGGTTTCCTGGTATGTGGGATAAGCTTCTCTATGGCTTCTAGTGAAGAGGTAATCTCCTGCATTAAATGCAAATATATTCTATGTTCAGGCAATGGAATCTGAAGTTGTTTTTTACCCATATTCCTGAAGAATGGGAGAATTAAGTGTCTTTCCTTCTACCAGTCAATCACCCAGCACAAAGACGTTTCTAGCCTTGGAAAGATTAACATTCAGATTATGGTGTTAACTTTTAATGAAATAAGCCTCTTTGTGGATACCAAGTTCTAGGTATACTTGTTTGATGTTCTGCACCACTGAAATAAGTAAGCCAATGAAATAAATGTTCTAGAGATTATGTTTATATATAAAAATCCCCTCAATTTCTGACACAAAAGTTCATAAATTGGGACGATTATCTCAGAATATGGCAATGGAAGAAATAAAGTTTATTTCTGTCTAACTGGATTTCTGAAAAAGTTTCTCTTAAATTCAGAAATGTTTCCCTTTCAAATAAAGAGGGTGCTTGGTATCATCTGATAGCAGGCAAAGGAGAAGTGGTGTGCCCAAGGCATCTTGCATTCCCAGATATAGAATGAGGGTTTATAAACCCGGATCCATTTCACTGGACGATCTCAAGTCATCTGCTGCTGCTAAGGAAGTTATCTGCTACTCTGGCTTGACCAAAAATTACACTCAATAGGTAAAAAAAAAAAAAAAAAGAAGCAAGAGCAAGGTTCACACATGGTACCAGATTCAGGCCAATTCAAGTGAAATTCCAACTGTTCTTCACAGGCCCCATTGTTTTATTAAATTACAGTATATCGCTAGTGCCTGGATTTAGGTCTTTTCTTGGCACCACCATGTTTTAAATGACTTTGAAACACAGCTACATTAAAAGGATATGAATGAAAGTACTCATGGAATGAAGCAAATAATTAATTCGTACTATTAGATTACCTCCATTGGTATGAGCCATTTTTAGTGCTTCTAAAGAAATTTCTGGGGTTATTTCAAGTTGGCAGACCATCACTTTGGCTTCAGCGATGACATGAGCAGCCCTTTTTAAATCACTGGAATTCAGAAGTAAATTTGCTCCCGCAACAATTACAATAAAGTTTTCTCCTAAAAACAAAGGTGAAATTTTAGAATAAGTAAAGCTGAACATAAAATGTATTTTCTTGACACCATGGCATATATGATTCCTAATGGCTTTTTAGTACTATAAAGTTAATAGCATGTTGGTTTTCAAGGGGTGTCTATGATAAGAAATCCTAGCTTGCACAGAAATGGTGAGAACGCCGGGAAAAAACTAAGGTTTCATTGCACTTTTTGTTGCCTCTCAAAATTGAGGTGGTTTAGATTTATATGCAAGAAATATCATGTTTGCTGAGAATTTGACCGATTGATGCAATAAGGAATATAGATCTGAAAATCAGTATAAAAGGACAAGGCAGTTTTGTCTGACAGAGAAAATACTGAATGTTTACAAGTTGCACCACTATCGTGACTGTTTGTATTTTTATTTTTTTTTATGAAGTCATATAAGGTCTGTGTCATGTTAGAGGACAAAGCACAGGCACAGGTAATCCTTGACTGACAACCACAACTGAGCCCAAAATTTCCACTGCTAAGCAAAGCGATGGTTAAGTGAGTTTTGCCCCATTTTATGACTTTGAGATGCATATGGTATTGTTAAATTATAGCAGGAAATGGGAAAGAGCTTCAGAAAAGGCCGTGATTTTTGGGAAAACACTGCACGTGGGTATAGGTTGTTCTAAAGAAATGTTATCCCCTATTGATTAATAACAGTCCAAAAAACAATTCACAGGGGTTTTTTTGGGGGGAAGGGAATGGTTGCATTCCTGTCAGGCACAAACAACCAGACTCCACATGCACAGAGTTCAAACTAATGTTCTGCCTACAACACAGGAATCTTTTCAGCCTACTCTTGGGAACAATTAGATAAGATTCCAAGGAACTTGGGGGGAGGGGGGTTCAGTTCTAGGCCTTTTGTGGTTGTACAGTGACTCCAGGCTAACTCCTACCTGCCCGGCTGAGACCTTCCCAACAACTCCAGCTTCTTTATAGCAGTAATGTTCCAAATTGCAGTATTGAGGTACATAAAACCATCTAATGTAATTATATCATTAAAGTTTCCATAACATCAGGGAACAGGGTATCAGGGCCGTATTAGCTGATCACTTGGCTTTTCAGTATCAGCCCACTTATCACTGTCTCTAGGAAATACCACTATGACCTTAGTTCTACTAAATTGGACTTTAAAGTGCAGATAGTCCTTAGTTTACATCCATTTGTTCAGTGACCATTCAAAATTATGCAGCGCTGAAAAAAATAGATATGCCAGCAGTCCTCAATATTCCAACCATTGCCGGCACCCGCATGGTCACGTGATTGTGATCCAGGTACTTATGTGCCCAGCTCAATATTATGACATTGGAGGGAGCTGCAGTCACAAGATTGCTATTTGCAACCTTTCTGCTGGTTTCCCATAAGCAACTCAATGGGAAAGCTGGCAGAGAAGATCAGAAGTTACTCCCACTTTATCTCTCAAATGCGGCTCACCCTGTCCACGTGCAGTCTGCAACAGTTCTCTCCCAGGTTCTCACAACTCATTGTTGCCTGCACTGGCCTTCCCCCCTACTTGGCATCTCAGTACTCTTTACCTGAGATTCCTGCCTTTTCCTGCCTAACGAGGGACATATTTTGGAGTCACAATGGGAACTGGACTGCCTCAGATTGCTGTCACTAAGTGTTATGGTCATGTGACGTATTGTTTAGCAATCGCAATCCCAATCTCAATTGCCGTCATAAACCAAGGACTACCTATATGAGAATATAACTCTCACAAGATGATTCTGTTGTTCTCCTCTAAGGACTTGGAGTTGCGGAAGTAATTATGATGGCAATGTTTTCCCAAGCTTTGGCATCTGAATCATGTATACCCCAAGCAAATCTTCTAGTAACAAGAAATAAAACCCCAGTATATTGGTATTTGTGGCATTATATTTGTTCTAGACCAGGAGTAGGCAACCTTGACTCTTTTATGACTTGTGTACTTCAACTCCCAGAATTCTGGGAATTGAAGTCCACGAGTCATAAAAGAACCAAGGTTGCCTACCCCTGTTCTAGACTGACTTTGTTTATTTCTACTTGTGCAGATTGTGTAGCAGATGCATTTGCCAACAGTATAGTTCTTGACCAATTTTTATCAGTAAACTGCTCAACATTCAAAGTTATTTTTTCATCTAGTTGCTGCTATCAAATTCTAAAGCAGGGCTTTCAAATCATGTATACCTAAATGATTATGGATTGTAAAGGTCCAATTTTACAAAACATTCCTTCGGAATTAAACTTCAGAGTGTCTTATTTCAAAAGGCCTCCCTAAGATATAATTATGGGAATAATGTAATGATCATTCTCACAGAGGAATTTAATTTCCAAACAATGTTGGCTAAAGCCCAGATTTTTCTCCCCCCAGATACATTCAGTGAAAGATTGCCCAACATAAAAATGCCAACCTAAAATCTCAGAATGGTCAGCATACTTTCTGAAAACTTCTACAGTTACATTTAGTAGCGCTTTGAAAGACTGCTATTAATGGTGCATTATCAAAAGGATAGTACAAGAGATAAAGTAGATGGAATGATCACCTTCAGGCCATAGAATTTCTTTTTGAAGATCTAAATACCATCATGAATGGGTTAATGATATAACATGGAACAGATACGTGGTTTATGTGTACATGATTGAAGTTTTTCATTCCCTCCCCCCTAGATTTCTGAGGTAAAATTTTACAGTTTTCGTTATTTTTTGTTGTCTGTGGTCAGGAATAATGATGGGGCTGAAGGTGGAGAGAAAGCATGCAATTTTTTGCCATTGCTTACAATGTTTTTTAAACATTTTTCTTTAATAGTTATCATCCAGATATTACATGGAGGTAACTAATCCCAATGTTTATCCCAAGGATCTTTCAGTTGGAGGCATATTCTTTCACCACTAGATCCCATTTTTAGTTATTATGGCCATTGCTAAACTTGTCATTAATTTCATGAAGCTTCAGAACTAGGGGCTATCAACAATCTCTCATGACAGTATATTGGATGACTACAGAATGCATAAAATATTTTCTTTTGGTCAGCTTGGAACTCTCATCAGTTTCTCACCCTATTCATTACTTTCAGACCAATCACAGTTCTATAAACGTATTAGATAGTTGTGAAATTTATTTTCATTTGACATCTTTGTCAAAATGTTTTTTTTTACTTATTCTTTCAGATACATAGGAGAACTGAAACAATAGTGGGTATACATTCTCAGAAATTAAGCCAGAATCTAGAGCACTGATCTTTAATTAGTGGGTTATAATTCCCTAACTTAAGCTATGGGGCTACCTCTATAATCTTCTCTCTTGTTTTTAAAGATAAGAATAGATAGGCTAGTGTAAAATGTGAGGGAAAAAATCTCAGGAAAGAGAATTAGAAAAAACAAACCCAAATGAAATACTTGTCCCCACATTAATATTCTATACTGGTTGGAGGATTCTGGGAACTGGATTCTAAACATTTCTATAGAGCATCAGACTGGAAAAGGCTCAAAGACAATTATTTACAATTGTCACACCATGAAGTACTTTCCAAACCATTTTTCCCTGTGGTAAAAATAAGCAAATTAACAAGCAGCAGTTCAACACCCAAAGCTGAGTTCTGGAGATAGCAGTGTGTAAAAGCTTTTTTGTGTTTACCAGATGCTTGGATGGAAAAAGCAAGCTACTAGTCTGCAATCTGTATCAGCCACCATGTTCGTTAAACTAATATTACATCCAGAGAACTTTATTTCCATTCTTTTATCTCACTTGTCACTCTTTTACAGCCATTGCAACTCCCAGTTTGCACTTAAGATTTTTGCACACAAACTTCTGGTGTGCATGGAAAAATAAGACTGACTTCTTTGAACTGCAATTAATAATTAATAGCTAAGATGAAACAAGATTTCCAAGTTGAAGGGGCTCTCAACATATAGAAAGGTGTCAAGAAGTTAAATGATGGTATTCTACGAACAATAAGCTGGTGCTTCAGTGCCCTGTAATGTCCAAGAATCATGCTACAACACTATTTTAGCAAACTGATATAATGAGCTGCTCTAAAATTCAGCCACTGAAGATATGGTCTCTCAAGTGTAGAATTATAATGTAAATTACATTATAATGGTAATTAGAATTGTGATCATTTATGGCTGGGAGCCCCTCTAGATTATTGGGAAAACTTTGGCTACAGAAACAAAAGAATGAATCTTTCTTTTGTTTCTGTAGCCAAGTTTGCCCAATAATCTAGAGCAGGGGTGTCAAACTGCAGGCCCATGGTCCGGATGTGTCATCCGGAAGCCACGCCCACCCCACTGCCAGCAATGGCAAAACTGTCACGTAACATCGCACATCACATGACGTTGCGAGTTTGACATGTCTGATCTAGATGGTTCCCAAGCCATAATTGATCATCATTCCTCACCAAAATTCACTACATACAACACCAGGCATAACCATTTTCAGTGAAATGAAAACAGTGCTATTGAATTTGATCATGACATATATGAGGCAGAGGACTACCACTAATCCTTCCTTAATTGGAGATGAATAGGTCTGCAGGATTTTGTAAGAGTTTAATCTACAGTTCACTTTGCTTCCTTTGAGTCATTCTATATAAAGCATATGAAATATTTGAGACAGAAAGAAAAAGAAAAGGTATTAGCTGTGTCCTGTAATCCTGTTGACGTTGCCATGTCTCCTCAACCCCCAACACATGCCATCCAAGTTTAGTGATATAGGGCACAGCTTATATGTATTTGCTTCTGGGCTCAATGGTATAGATATGTATTATGTGTGAAAACTATTTTGGTTATATCTTTAAAAAATGAAACTTGACAAAATTAATATATAATTCAAAACTAAGAAAATTCAGCTTATTCCTTGATATGTACCTTCACTATTGACCATGATTGAAGCAGCTCCAGTTGCAGCATCTTCTGTCTGACTTACAAATTCTAGGATAAGAAGGAAAAAAGTTTTATACATCTTTCAGCAAATATACAAATTAGTGAGTTACATCAGCAAACATTACAGTTGAACAGCTGGCGTTTAAAATGTTAATAATGAATACCAATGCCAGAAGCGGGAAAACATAAATGCTAAATTACACCCACATGACAGCAAACACAAACTCAAGATTAATTAATTGTGGCTAATTCTGTATTCAGGAAAAAAAACTGATCTAAATTTAGTACAGACATTACTGGCAGCTGTAGTATACTTGTTATTCACATAGACATGTAAGTGAAACTCATGGTTAAAACAGTGTGAATTTGCTATGCTTATTTGAGTCACCCATAAAGTGACTCCTTTAGCTCAGGAAACAGAGTAACCCTCATAAAGGCTTGGCTGAATTAGAATAATAGCACACTCCTATCCATGTTTATCTGGAAGTAAGTTTACTCTGCACAAATGCATTGACGATAGTAGTTTAAAAATGGATTTTGACCTAAATTTAACAGTGTTTAGCCAAATCCTTCCTGGAAGCCACATGTTAGTAGCTATAGCCTGTTCAAATTTTTACTTCTCTATAAATTATATTCTGAGGAATATTTCATCTATAAGACAGGTTCCATTTATGTACTTTTGTAACAGATATAGACCATAGATGGGGAAGCTTTGCTTTCCATAACTTCCCATTTCCCATTAACATCCCCCAATGCACCTAGAAATCAAGAAAAATGAGAACTGCTCTCTATCAATAAACAGCAGGATATATATATATATATATATATATATATATATATAGATAGATAGATAGATAGATAGATAGGTAGGTAGGTAGGTCGGTCGGTCGGTCTTTGGTTATTCGGGTTTTCTCCCGCGTAAAATTGGAAGTGTCTTGGCGACGTTTCGACGAAGTCCCATTCGTCATCTTCAGGCTGGTGTTTTCAGCCGTGCTTTGAGGAGCAATGTGTGGTCTTAGCTGTTTCTTCCTTTTAACTGCCAGTGGGGGTATGAACTGATTGGGTGGGAGCTTGGCTGTGTTCTGATTGGGTGGAGGTGTGTTCTGATTGGTCAGGGGTTGGCTGTGCTCTGATTGGCTGGGGGGTTGGCTGTGCTCTGATTGGCTGGGGGAGTGTTCTGTTTGGGTGGGGGCTTTGAAGATGAGGCACGACCACGAACGCGAAGCCAAAAAAAAAGTAGCAAAGCCCACCATCTTAAACCCCCCTGCAACTCAGACTAACCTGAGCACAACAAAGCCCCCACCCAAACAGAACACTCCCCGGCAAAAAAGTTGCGATACGTCGTGACACTTCATGTGGCGTTGCGAGTTTGACACCCTTGAGCTAGATGAAACCTTAAACTCAACAGTTGATTGCTAACTGCTGGTGAGAAGATGTCAATTACTATTATAGTCTTAATGATTAAACTCAGGGTTTGATGGAATGCCTAACAGACCCTGGGAAGACAGAGAAGGAAACAGAACTACTGTATTTGAAAAAAAAAAAAAAGTCCGAGGGGGTAAACATAAGACAATGAGCAACTAGATATAAATTAAATGGGAAAATTGCTTTGATAAGCTTTTAACATTGTTACATTACCCAACTAGCTATAAAGATCTTTTTAGAAACCCAAATAGTTATTAGATTCCTGAGATTACCACCCTTAGAGAGCTTGACTAAACCATCACTAGCATCACAACCAATCTCAGAGAGCATCAGGGACCCCTCACATGGCTTCTTTCCTGTTTTCCTGAATTAACAGATACTTTATGTGACACATAGTGGCCCTGAAGCTGAATGGCTCTTCTACATTAACATAACAGCCATCTTTGCCTTAGGAATTGCTGGATTCCATCACAGCCCTCATACAGACTATCTTCAAAGTCTGCAATGATAAAGTCTGTAAATTATATACTAAACCACAATACAGGTGTTAAATCCATTTACCTGAGAGTTTAATAAGCTGTGAGATAACCAAGTGGTTGAATCAAGTTTAAATGTTACGTAGAAAGAAGTATTTTTAGGTCTGTCTTATGCTGGCGGTCACTTTTACTGAGTTCCAGTCACTATGAAGGAGCCAGGAACTGGGAGACTATGAGGTCTAGTCCTGCCTTGGGTACAAAGCCAGTTTAGGTAATCTTGGCCCAGTTACTTTCTCACAGCACTGGGAAAAGAGGCAATGGCAAACTACTTCAAACATGAAAAAATTCAAATATGAAAGCTGACTGGGTGACTTTGGTTCACTCAGCCTTTCTCAGTCCAACGTGCTTCACAGGATTGTTGGTGTTGGGAAAAATAGGAGGAAGAAGGAATATTAGGTATATTCACTGCCATGAGTGATGTATAAAAATAATAAAGGTGGGATTAAAAAAAAATCTTTAAAAAAAAGTCTGAAAAATCTTGCCAAGAAAACTGCAAGGGTTTGTCCAAACAGTTTTTGAGAATTGGACACAATAGACCAGGAAAAAAAATATTATTATGAAGAATGATAGATCTTTGTTTACCACTCTATTCATTTTCGCATTGAGGAGAACTTTGCAAATTTTATATTCAGAATATAGTGATTATTGGTATAATTTGGATCTAAATTAAAATAAGGAAGATACCTGTTGGAATCCCATTTTTTTTAAAGTTTTCAATGTAGTCATTACCAAAAGAATCCTTCCCAACCTACAGAGCAAAAATAAACAACATTACATATTTCAGATTACCCAACTCATCTTGGACAACATTCTCAAGGATGGGCAAGATATGAATTTCCATGTGGTTGAGTTTCCATTAACCCTGAAGACTACCCCTGAAATATCTGTTTTGCAATGATTAAAACTATTTCAAAATGCAAACCTTCTGAATATGCAAAAATGAAAATGTGTTCATTGTTTTTAAAACCAATACAATTTTATTCTATATTTCTCCACTGTCATCATATTTTAGAAACAGGAGCTTTATATTACTCAATATTGCTACAACTCATCCCTAAGTCCTATCAATGGCTTTATAACATGATTAAAACTCCTTTTTAACATCTTCCTCAGAAGTAAGAAGTACTGACTCCAGTGGGGAGTCCTCCCCCCCTCTATAGGAACATAGCATTGAAGACTGGGAGAGTAATATCATTTCTCTCTCGAACAAGTGCATTTACAGTGAATTTGGGCAGCCAAGTAATTTAAATAAAAATATTTTTTAAACAATAACATGTTACAGGATATTTAAAAATATGTAATGAGAAATCTAGATTTGCCGATTATGCATTTAATATCTTTGATAATGAAATCACACAACTTATGGTTTGTTGAAAATACAGTTAAATTATGGAAACAAAGAAAACTAAACGACATAATATGCTCTATGACCTGTGAAATGATAGACATGGAAAATATTTCTTAAAGAATGAACCCGTGGGAGAATCATATTTATGCACTGTTTAATAATGGCAGAGGATGCACAGTAGTCACCAAATGCTGAACGTCAGAGAAAAACAAAACATAACACTGTAAAATGAGGTCAGGTAACAAGGATATGAAATGGAAGCCCTGAAGTCCTGGACAGTGTATCTCACATGGCAACATTTTATTAAGGATTCCGCTTAACAAATTCTTCAGTTTAAATCAGGGATAAATTATTGTTGTACATGTTAAGATACACTATAAGAGGCTGGTGAGCAAAAATGAAATAGCTTTTGGTTAATTATAGATAAAATTCCTTTATACCTACTTTTGAAAAAGCACAGACTTACTTCCCTACATTTTATATCAACAACTATTCTGTATGTCTTTAGATATCCCTGAATATAACAAAAAACCTCTTTGGGAAATAGACTGCAATGCAGATCCCTTAGAACCGCAGTCCTCAACCTTTCTGGCTCTGCAGAATGGCAGCAGCAGAAGGAAGGGATGGGTGTGGAAACGTGTCTGCTGCTTGTGCAAATAGAGCTTTGCATGATTACCTGCTACTGCACAACTCAGTTCTCAACTGGCCACAGACCGATACTGGTCCATGGATCAGGAGTTGGGGACCCCTGGCTTAAGAGACGACCATGAATTCAGTTTTGATATCGAAAGATGTTCTAAGTCTGCTCCATGTGTTCAATTACACTAACTGATTCATAAACTGCATTAAGCTGTGGTTTGCTTAATAAACCACAACAATCTGAGATCGTGCATCATGCTAAGTCATACATCCAAGTTCATAAATCAAAATGATTGGGTTTAATATAATCCACTACAACAAAACTAAGTACATTGTGACAATCTCATACAGAAATTTATATTATTTCTCAAGTATTATCTATCCTAATTGGTTTGCACATAGTACCAGTTGGTGGACCCTGAGGTTCTAATAGAAAAGAGAAAGCAGAAAAAGGAGTTGTTAGATACTGGAATAAAATGATTTTGTTCCTATAGGGAAAAATAGTTAATGTTACATGTTCTCAGTAATTAAGCTCAGTTAACTTTTGTACAAAATGTTAATCTTTCTCTTTCAAAAATACAAAACTGATACTTTGCATTGTGTATTTGGGAAGATACAGAATAGATTGATACATTAATTTAGCATGTCATAACCCTGTTTTCAAAATATATTAGTATTACTATATATTAACACTACTGGCTGCTCTACCAGCTTGCTCATGGAATGCTATGGCAGTCCTAGATTGCAAAGGGTTCATCTTTTGTCTATCCCTATATCGTACTAATTTTCATCCAAAACAGAATACATATATTCCGTTTGCTACTTAGATTTTTTTTTGTCTTGGATAAGACAGTTGTTAGTTGTTAAAATGAACTCGTAAATTTTGTCTGTATTAATATTTAGGCAATTTATTACACGAGAATATACTGACAATAACATATATGAAGTAGTGCTTACCTTGCAGATCATTGAAGTTTTAGCCCCAAGCCGAACTGCCTGGATACATTGGTTGGCACCTTTCCCCCCAAATCCAGTGAAAAATTTATACCCATGTATGGTTTCTCCAACTTTGGGTAAACGTTTAGTAAGGCTGTTGAAATAAAGAAGTAAAGGTACTCTTTACTGCATATTAACAACTAAATTCTTAAAGAGCTTTTAAATATTAACCATATAGAATTGCTAAGGCCATGTGCTATAGATTATTTAATTAAAAGTCGTTCTAATAGTAATCAAAAAAATTTGTAAACGTAACCTCCTTCACGCTCTTATAAGAACCAAAAATAAATTCTGGGAGTTGAAGTCCACGAGTTGAAGTCCATGAGTCATACAAGAGCCAAGGTTACCTATCCCTGACATAGGTGTTACAATGGCACAGATCAAAGTCAACTTGGAACGGATTATTGAAGAGAATACTTCTCCGCCTAAGGACAGCCTTGAGTTAATTTTTAATATAATACAATAGAATCACTATGTAGGAACTTTACAATCCTATTTGGGAAGTTAAAAACGCTTTTTCTTTTTATTAGTTTGTGTTAGTTTATATGCCTTTTTAATACATTATTAATAGAAATCTGTAAAATTAAATATGACCTGTAACGCTGAATCTTATAATAGGCAAGATAACTGCTTTAAAATCATCTTACAACAAAATTCATGATTATTAAAAGAAAAGAATAGAAAAGGATTCATCATGCTGCCCCATCCTATGCACTACAAGGCAGGCATTGAAGTACAGGAGTTCCCCTCAAGAGGACCATGTTTTCTGGCTTCGGCTGCAACCTGGTATAATGGCTGCTTCAGGCTCACAGTTGGGAGGAAGTGATAGAACTGGTCTCTCAGTAGTTGCAAGAGTTCAAAGCCGATTGCAGAAGACAGGAGACATCCAAAGAGGTAAAAGAAACACTGGAGAACTTAGGTGGGAATAGGCAGCATAGGAAATCAAAAGCTCTTAATCAAGGGGCGCTTACAAACACATAAACATTATTGATACGGCAAGCTGGAAAAATTGTAATCCTTTTTATAGCAAGATTTGTTCTGCTGAACATAGGAAGAACAGAGTAGAAAAATAAATCTTAAGGGGGAAAAAAGCAATAGCAATATCATTTAGACGTATATACTGCCTCATAGTGCTTTACAGCCTTCTCTAATTTACAGAGTCAGCATGTTGCCCCCAACAATCTGGGTCCATATTTTACCGACCTCGGAAGCATGGAAGGCTGAATCAACCTTGAGCCAGTGAGAATCGAATTGCTGGCAGTTGGCAGAATTAGCCTGCAATGCTGCATTCTAACCACTGTGCCACCAATTATACTTGGCCAAGACAACAGCAAGTCAAAAGTTGGCAAGCTATGCAGCAGTATGAAGAGACAGACACTTTCTATTTTAATCTTAAGTTTCCTCTCTCATATCTGAGCAGTGCAGGAGAGGGCATAAGCAAGTGGGGTTCTTTGGCAGATCTATTGTACTAGCCACAGAAATGAGATTAGACTGTCTAGAACAGGGGTGGGAAACTATGGCCCTTTTCTGACCTGGCTGTCTCAGAAATTCTGGGAGTTGAAGTCCACAAGCCATAAAAGGGATGTAGTTCCTGACCTCTGGTCTTTGCTGGCTGAGGAATTCTGGGAGTTGAAGTCCACAAGTCTTAAAGTTGCCAAGGTTGAGAACCCCTGCTCTAGTCCCACCCTTTCTCAAGCAGGAGATTCCATATTATTCAGCAAGGGGATAGAAGGATGGAGTGGGGAAAAATGGTTAAGTCATCATGAGTATCCTTTATTTGGATAAATGGTATTTGAGTCAGGTTCAGATTTTTGGATTGCTGTATCTCACTGAATGTTAAAATAAGAAATTGTGTCCAACATCTGGGGAACCAATCAGCATAAACTTATCTAGCTTAACTTGAAAGGTCACATCAGAAGTACATATGTGCATTTCTTCCTTAAACACACTTCCATCTTGCATGTTAAATCTCCTGCCAAACACACCTTAATAGACAGCTCAGGAAAATTCACTTTTAGAGATAGAGATTTAAGAAAAGGAAGCCGTGCTATAATGTGATGCTGTTATCTTGTCACCAAATTTTGTAATGAGAAGCAATTACTAGATTTTGATTTCATTAGTCTAACTTTAAAAGCATTTCAGCCTTCTGTTTTGAAATGACAACTATGAGTAATTTCTACAATTAAGGAACCATCTGTTACTGTGCATCCTCCATTCACATGTACACTCAAATACGCATTTTCCAGAGGAGTTGAACACATATATTGCAGACTTAGCTATATTTTGAAGGGAAACAGCTGCTTCTATAACAGAAAAAAACCAACCTAAACAAGCATTTAAGTCCAAAGTCAGAAGCTTTTATTTTAATACAAGCATGTCTGCATACATATTACAAAAAGTAAAACAGCTTGGTTATTTTTCTAACTCCAGAATACATGGTCCTAACATGAAACAAAGACAAAAATGGTAGAAATTAATATTTATCATTTAAAGCATGCTGTGTGTCGGGGGGGGGGGGGAACAGTGGCCTTTTTATGACTTGTGGACTTCAACTCCCAAGATTCCTGAGCCAGTCAGAGGTTCCCCACCTTTGATTTAAAGAGTAGAAGGCAATACAATGAAAATTGTAAGACCAAGATTGTAATACACCTGGAAAGCACTTGAGATGGAAATAACTTCCAAATAAACTTGGAAGCACCTTAAGGCAAGCAGCAATGGATGGAAACTAATCAAGGAGAGAAGCAACCTAGAAATAAGGAGAAATTTCCTGACAGTTAGAACAATTAATCAGTGGAACAACTTGCCTCCAGAAGTTGGGAATGCTCCAACACTGGAAGTTTTTAAAAAGAGATTGGGCAATCATTTGACTGAAATGGTATAGGGTTTCCTGCTTGAGCAGGGGGTTGGACTAGAAGACCTCCAAGGTCCCTTCCAACTCTGTTATTCCGTTCTTCTGTTAAGGAGGAAGTAATAGTATAGAAGAGAGAGTGCTAACTCTCCCATCTGGTCTTACATACTTAAGAAAATAATGATCGCAGACTATTTCCTGGTCTCTTAGTCTTTAGTTATACTCAAACATAAAAAGAAAGTATCAAAGTGTTCAGAAAAGCTCCATTTCTATGTCCAGAGGCCAACTGGATGATACAGTTAATTAGATTGCTGGTACTTGTGGTGACAGTGGAGAGACGCAAAGAGGCTTTGCAATCGTTAGGTCCCAGAAATTAAAACAATGTTAATTTTTTTTATTAGAACTTAACATGGAAATCCTTAAACTGAGACTTCATCTTAAGCCCTGATTATGCCAGAGAAAATAACAAAGGAAGTTGAGATGTGATTAAAGGAGGAAAACAAAGCACTGTAACTGCTTTCAGGTGCTTTTGGGAACAGCAAAAGAGTCTGATGAGTGAAGCTCCTAATTAGGGGAAAGATAGTTAATCCAGTAATTCTGACCTCCTGGCCAGAGGATATGGTCATATCATCATTGTCTAAGTTGCAGAAGGAACTCTTGCCAGAAGCTCCTCTTCTCCAGCCTCACAACAAAATGAAGTTTGTTTTTCTTTTTTAAATTTCAACTAGCTCATGTATGCCGGCCAAGTGTGAAGCAAACTACACTGCAGACTATGATGGCCTTCATAAGCCTTCAATTAACTGTAGATGGACAATATTTCTATCGGGGAGATTTCCTACAGATAGTAATCACTTGGAGTTTTCCAAAGTCTTGTTTTTCATTGCCTTCACAGGGGGCTTCTGCCTTTTCTTGCCTATACTTGACCTATTGGGACTGGATTTTCTTGTCTAGATCTGAACACTGACTTCCCTTCAGGGAGTTCAACAGCCAATGAATGGGATTGGATGAATTTAGAAAGTAGCTCCAATCTATATATTAAAAAGTGTTTTATTTGACAGCAATACAGCATGCTTTTCTTTGATAGACCTTTACTACAGGAATTTAGCAACTGCAATTGGGGTTGTTTCTCTTTCTCTCAAAGACATCTTAGTATGTTAGGGAGTGAAAATAAGAGGATAGAAACAATGTGAAGGTCATAAATGTGAGGACTGGTCACTAAGTAGGGTTATTTTTTAGCACTGTTGTAAGTTTCAATAGTCATTAGATGAGGCAGTCACTAAGCAAGGACTACCTGTACTAGTCTCTAAGCTACCACTATATAATAGTACGGAGCTGGGACAAGATATAAAAAGCGGATAAGGAACTCAAAATTATGTTACATCAAATCTAAAACCAGACCATAGGCTCAATGAGTAGTTTTTTGCTGTGGGGGGGGGAGGGGAAGCTTTGTCTCTTGGTGTTAAAAGCACAATGAGATGTCTCACAAAGTGATTCAAGGTAAGAAATTGAGGATTGCAGGCAAGGTACACGAATAATAGAATAGCTCCAGTGGTAAGAAAATAACACAAGCCATTTCTTAACTCAGAAGAATACTGGGTTAATGTTAAATCTGAATTAAAGCTTTCTGATATGGGATGGTCAGATAAAAATAATGAACTGATGTCTAAATACAACCCATTTTAGAACTAAAACTACACAGGACTCAATAGTTTTGGAGAATGGCCTCAGAAAGAGACAATTTTTTTTAAAAAAAAATAATTTCTGGAAAACTAAAGAAAACCTAGAGGCTGAAACCAATCAACTGAGTAACTTATGTCCATGCAGATAGCTACTGATGTACAAAACTATAAGTGCTGAGAAGGTTATCTATCTAGTTAATCATTTTTATGACTAAGTAACTGGGTCTGAATCTAACAATGTTTAATAAAAGTCTTGAAAGAATAGTGGTGCATAAAATCTGTTACAGATCAAGAGTGTTAAAGTAGAACTCTTAAATAACTGAAGACTATACTGTTGAAGAAAATACTTAATAACCAAGGAAACAGGCAGAAATACTGGCAAGCAAGCCTATAAAATGCCACATGGCAGAAGATGTTTATGCAGGACTTTGTTCCTGGCAAGAAAAATGTTATAAGGGTGTTGACAACACAGCATAATGTTCAGTTTGTGAATATCTTGAAATATGGTGAGCTAGAATAAAAGCCTTGCAGGAGATCCAAAGCATGCCTCTCCGCCTTCAAAGTCCA